CCCCAAAACCCCAAAACCCCAAAACCCCAAAACCCCAAACCTAATAAAAATAATAGAATGATTTACGGAGAAATGGTCAAAGGGATTTGACAGGCACGCAGCTGGTGAAGGACTGGTTGTGGGCAGGGAGAGAAGGTGAGTGGGAGGGATAGAGGGGTTTTGAGGGTGACTGGGTGGGGACTTGGGGAGGAGAGGGTGGAGAGGTGGAGAGGGGGTTTTAGGGGGTATATGGGGTATATGGGGTGTATTTTGGGGCTTAGAGGGTAAATATATTAAGGAGAGGGTTTTTATAGGGGGTTATAGGCTGAATTGGTCTTGAGTTAGGGATTCTAATGCTTTAATAGTTATTTATTCTTCCATATTTTGTTTTGAAGTGATCTTCCAGATTTAATAAATTATGATATATTTATCAATGTTATGACAATGGTCTGTTTTTAATATTTTTCACCTTTGTAATACACTGTATATGTATGCTCCTACAAAGACTGACAATTTTGAACAAATTTTATAGAAGCAGAAAATTTTAATCTTTGAAAAAGCAATATTCAATCAATTTTTATCTGAATATTCATATATGCCTCCATCAATGTTTTGACATGCTTTAGTAATAAAAATTTCAATAAAGAAGCTAAATTTTCTATAAAAATAATCAAAGATAATATTAAGACCAATAGACAGATAATATTTAGTATCAAGTCTTTTAAAATAAAAACTTGATATTTTTTGGGTAATTTAAGTCTACCAGAGTATCACCTAAATTTCCTAAAATTACAAGAGACTTTTGTATTATTAGATCTGTTGCCTCAATCAACCCAGATAAGAATTAGACTGACTTTAAATAGAATTAGAAATAAAGAATTACTCCTCTGATGCTGACAATATCGAATAAAACAAGATATGTCTTTTCCATTCACTTTGGGCTTATACTACCAAACCCTCATAACATCTCCAAGCCAAAATGATTAATCTCGAGCACCAGAAAACTCATAATAAGCTTGCTTTATTACACATCACACAGTTAATTACACCTCTCTTCTATTAGCCATATCTAGACAATGTTATTTAAAATTCAGAATTTATTCTAATGATAACCAAAAACACTCAGCCTACCTCAACTCTCAAGATGCTTTCTTAGTTTCCTAAATTTTATTCTAAAGTATATCAATGCTTTAATATTTCACAAGGCTATCGCTTTCTTAAAATGTTAATGTGGCCGTTATAGTACTTTGCTCCTTCATTAATCTCGAAGATTTCATAAGCACAAAAATACTTAAATATTCATCAAACCTTAATATTTCCAAAATCCCAATCGCGCACACTCCAATTTTTACAGTTACAACTAATTCCAACAAAGCTAAGGCTAAATTTGTGCATAATTTTGTTCCAAAGCCTCATCGAAAAATCCTGGAAATTCCAAAAGAAAATTTTAGGTTATATATTTTTCTATTTCCAATTTCAAATATGAAGAATTCATGATTTCTGATTATTTCTTAGTATTCAGCTTAAATCACCAGATTTTGAAGCGGGGTCTAGGAAAAGTCTTGGCTAGGAAACTTAATGCTCTAGAGCTTTATTTCTTCTTAAAGTTTATCGGCTTTCACTTTTGTCCAGGGGTTTTACAGAAAAAGTTGATAACTAATTTTGTGTTATTTTTAAGTTTAGTTGGTAAATTCTGAGAATTTTTCGCCAATTTAGCCATCCTATTTCCTGAGTTTATGAAGGAAGTTTTCAAATATTTTCCACCCGCTGTTAACCTAATAATTATTCCTATCCAATTTCATCGAGTTTTGGCTCGATTTAGATTAAGCAACTTTTGGTCAAATTCGAAAAATATGATTATTAATTCTCAGTCATACCTAAATTTTCATAACCTAAGAATTTAGAGTCAACTGTTTCTCACTTGAGTCTGTTGGCTAAAGAAGGTTTTTAAAATCTAAAAATTAGAAATTTGCCGGCCTTATAATAATGCTAGAGATTCTTCAGGAGTTTACAGAATTTTGAGCTATTCGAATTGGCTGCTTAAATAAATACGAAATTTTCAAACATGCTAATGTTCCTAATAATTTATGGACTGTTTCTTGTAAAATGAGGGTTAAAGAAAGCTACATTTTAGCGACATTATGAAGCCTCTCTTCCTACAATGCTACTCAGATTTTATAAGTTGACGGATATTAGTGTTCGATTATTTCTAATACTTGGTTTATAGAGAATTTTCAGAATTATGTTGATATGAGCAGTTTTTATTGGGTAAGTACAGCAGTTCCTAACGGAAGTAAAATTCTACTGCTTGAAGACGCAATTAGAGACTAATGTGTTATAGGCTCGTTAGCAGCACAAGTAACTGCAGGCATGATCAGTTTTTGGAAAATTCAGGGTGCTTTTAATTGACACGAATCATGCAAAGAATGAGCCAAATACAACAAATGTACTGTTTGTGATGACAATTACGTCTTCAATGGTAAGTTTCTTATTTCAAAGCAGACTAATGGAGTATAGAGACCACAGGTCTTTGAGATTGGCTAGAATGACCAGATGGACAATATTACTCTCATCCTTCAAATGGGTGTCAACAATGCTCAAGTTCTTGAAATTCTTTATGTGGTTACCAATCTCATTGATTTGAGTGACCCCCAGATAAATATTTGAACCTTGATGATATGACTTGAGTTGAATTATGAGATGAAGCTTTCCAGGTGCAAGTAACAGATCCTCAACTGCATTCTATTCCTCTGTGAAGGAGTTTAACCTACTATGTTGACCCACAAAGTGAGAGTACAGTTGAGTTAGGAACAAGACAGCATCCTTATAAGGAATTAGACTCCGCTCTTGTGGAAATAGTGAACTTTTACTCCCATTCTGAAAGAATAGTTACAGTTTTAGTCCAAGAAGGTGCATCTGTATATGTAGACAGTCCCACCTACATTGTTAACATGACAGGAGTAGTTTTTGACACATATTCTGATTGGACGGATCATCCCGGATTTGCAAGGATGGTTGGAGTAATGAACTCTTCCAAGATAATCCCTCCTCCTTTAACCACTAAGTTCAATATACTGGGTAAGTAATTTGCTTTATACCACAGCAAGTAAAGAAAAGAAGACACAGAATCTAATCTTTGAAAATCCAGGTTTCAAATCTGACGAATTGATTGCACTAGGAGTGGGAGATGCTGTATTCAAGCCCTATCATGCAGGTCTTACTGTGAAGAATTTTAGAGTGGTCACTGAATATGATGATATTGCGACTAGCCATGCCTTGGTCACTCCTCTTAGAGTTGATGCTAAGTCAGTCACTTTTATTAACGTTGATTTCAAATGTCAGGGAACTATTCTCTTTGCTGTTTCAACAGGTTTCAACTGGCATATGGAGAATGTTGCTTATGAGACCCAGAATTTGTACAGACTAAATTACATGATACAAAAATGAGGAGAATCTGGATCGTATATGGGCACAAAGACTTATTTTAAAAATGTCACTGCTTATAATAGCGGAGATAAGCCTCCCGAATTGCACATAGAACAAGCAAGCTCTAGAAATTTCATAGTAGGAGATATTTACTTTGAGGATGTCAAGCTTGACACTTATACTGGATACAAGGTTGGAATAATACAAATGTTGTTATTCATAGATCAGAGAACCTGTTTGCCAGAGAATCCTAGGCTATATAATTTCACTAATTTTGAGCTTACCACTTCTAGGGAAGCTAAAAACCCTGAGATGGATCAGACAGCTACTTTTGTGATTACTTCATTAAGTGGAACTCAGATAAACCCAGGAGAAATTCATATTCAGAATTTTACTTGCAGGAACGACAGATATTATAGGTATGAGTTTAATAATTCTTAATATCTCTAGGCACTACTGAGCAAGAATATACTCAGCAGGATATAAGTCATACGCAAATAATCTTTATTCTTATAATTCAGAAGGAATAACTTTCTTGTTCAACGGAGAAAGGATTTATCTGAGTAATATTTTATCCAATAATGTTTCAACAATAAGCTCTCAGTCATTTATAGTTCAAGCACGGTAAGTGGCTATTCAAGCTTGCTTTAGACAGCTTTTAGAGTATCATAGATCAGCTGATTAAATATTGTTTATAGAGTTGAGCTAGAGCTTCAGAATATGGAAATGAGCAATTCTATCTCTCATAATTCTGGAGATTCTGCAATGATTTCAATCGAATGACTAGCCTCTTGAGAAATGAATCTTCAGAACATAACTTTGAACAATTTGCAAACCTCCACTTTTAAAGGGCTATTATTTTTCCTTGGTACTTCGACATCAAACCTAACTGTCAAAGACGTATACATTAAAAACATAGTAATGAGTGGAGACTCATCAGGAATATCATATCAATCTTTTCACAACATCACAATGGAAAATATTATTGCTACAAATGTGACTAAGAAGGAAGGCTCTGATGGCATGAACCCTCTTATTTCCACCTCCCACTCAGTGACATCATCTTCTCATGACACTCATCAGTCAATCTCAAACCTAATTTTCACTCAGAGCTCAGTATCTCTGCTCCTCATCACTTACCCAAAATACGAATCGACTTCTACGAAATCCTTGATAATCACAAATGTCAGTTGCCAAGACTCGGTCTTCTCCTCTGGAACTGATCTAATCAGCTTTCACAACTTAGCTTCTCTAGGAGAGTACACTATTGAGCTAACAGACTTGAAGTTCCAGAATCTGAGCTCGAATGGCATCAGCAAACTGATGCATTTGCAGCAGCAGTCTGCACCTGCATTAGTTATTAGAGATATTCATGTATCTGAGGTAGCCTCAATGGGCGCTACCATTGAAGCATACGACACGAATAATGTGTATAACTATACGCTAGCTGAGATTCATAATATGATAGCCTTTAATGTAGATGCAGGCCAGAGATCCCTTATTGAGGTCAACAAACAAGCAAGAGTCACTCTTAGGAATTCGACCTTCTTTAATATTAGCAATGTTGCTAATGGACCAGTGGTGCATGGTAAGTGAAGATTAATTGTTTGAGTTTTTCTGGAATTTTAATATTTTGAGTGAAATTATGAGTAATCCTAAATTTTATGACACTGTATTTCAAATTAAAAAATCACGAATTGCTCTCTTACTGAAAATTTAAAATATTTGTACATTACATAAATTGTCAATTAAATTCGCTTAACCCTTGATTTATATCAGCAGGTGTAGAATTAGCGTCAATCGCTATCTATGATTCAAAATTTCACAATAACACGTCTAACGAAGGAGGAGTATTTGCAACTGAAGCAGGAAGTGTAATAAAATGATATCGCTGCTTATTCACTAACAATTTTGCAATCGATAGCGGAGTTATCAAAGTTGGTCGTGATGGCATATTTGAGTTTTATGACTCTCAGTTTTATGGCAATATTGCTTTTATGTCATCAGTGAGCACTATATTTTCAACCCAATTTCAAAGCCTGTTCAATAATTGAACTTTCAGTGAAAATATCATATTAACAAAGGAAGAGATTTTAACAAATATTGTGCCCAACAGTAAGTTCACTGAATAATTTTTAGTCATCAAATATCAAAATTTGAAGGATTATATTACAAGTAATCAATATCTATTTGAAACAAAAACCCCTTCTTCATGAATTAGGGTCGAATTTGCAAGTCTTAGGCTGGAGAACCAAATTAAGAGTATTGATCAGAATATGCTCCTACGAGCCGACGTTGGAACCATCTTTATTGATGGTTTGATTGCTGAGAATACAACATTAGTTGATTACATCATTGCTGTATCTGAGAGTGAGCTTTATGCTTCAAATGTTTTAATAAGAAATCTCTACTATAATATGACAAGGAGAAATGTTGTCTATGTAATTACCTCTATCGCTACTTTCAAAAATATCACAATTATTGATTCAAATATCAACCTCATCCAATCAGTTGTATCGGTCACTAATATTGAGGTAAGTACTAGAATTCCTATAAAATAAATTATCTTTATCTAGTTATTTCATATTAAATGTGCCACCTACTTTTTATACATTTTGGTATCTTCTTCTCTCTTCCTTATCATAATCAGAAACTTTAACATAGAGCTGCTGATCTTCTTTGGACGATCCTAAGAAATTTGTTAGAGAGCCATCAATCTCTCAATAGGATTAATCTTGGTATCTATTTTATCGGCTCCTCAAAAATCATGCCAGCTAATCTCTTTACTCCATTACAATGTAATATAGTGTAGCTCTTCTTGAGCCTTGTCCTACATTCTCTGTTTCATTTTTTCTTAGACCTCTCTGTTCTTCTTGTGGAGTTTTTGTAACCCTTGAGTCAACTTCCTATTATGGGTTTAGAGCAAATTTCATGAAATTTCCTAAAACTAAATTCTTCCAAATTCACATATTTCTTATAGGGCTTAACCGCGACCAATATCGCAGGAGATCACAATATGGTGGTTGAGTTTGTGAGAACTAGAAAGGAGGATATAAGCAAAACAGGTGAGAAAATCACCTCTTCCTTAAAGAATATTCACATTTCTGGTATCACTAACAATGGCGATGGAATTGTAAGAATAGTCAGCTCAGATCTTGAGGAGATTCACAATGTCTCTGTGTTTAACTGCAATGCAAATATTATTAATGCCAGATCGACAACGATAAGTCAAATCTCTCAATTAAATACTACCAACAATATTGGAGGAATGAAACTGTTCGATTCTATTGTTGGAAATTTTAAGGATTCTAAATTTGTCAATTGTGGCTCACAAAATGTGTTTGAGGGAGGAGCTATTTATCTCAAAAATTCGAATGTATCAATCGTCAACTCATACTTCGAGCACAACCAAGCTATAGCTGGTGGAGCTATCAGCATTATATGTTCATTGCACAATCCATGAGCAGTGATACTTCAAAATAGCACCTTTTCTCATAATGTTGCTTTCTCTAAAGGAGGGGCCATTTATTATAACTGGAATCGTCCAGCTATGAAAGGATTAAAATTTCAAAATAATTCTGCTCTTTATGGCCAAGACATTGCTAGTTATCCAGTCAAAATAGTATCTAAAGGTACTCTGGTCAATAAAATCCCCATCAAAGATGTTGCTAGTGGATTGAGGTTTACTGATTCTCTAGACCTAGAGTTGATAGATTATGATCACCAAATCACTAATTTAGAAAATTCTAATACAGTAAAACTTTCTCCAATCGAACAGAACACAAATATCAAGGGTAATGACTTTGGGAAAATTACGAATGGTTCAGCGAGCATTAGTGATATTATTTTCAAAAGCCACGCAGGAAACCACCTAGTGACTTACAGGTAAGTGAATCTGAGCGAATTTATAGCTTGACTTCGAAAGCTATTGATCGTAGAAAAATACTCTCTGCTCTGAATAATTCTCAGGGCCAGTACGACAATACAGTCAGTGCAAATTTCAGAGACTGTAAGCCTGGAGAAATACAGACTAAAGATGACCATTGCACAGAGTGTGCCTTCGGAACTTATACATTAAACTGGAATGAGACTCAGTGTCATGACTGCATGGACCATGCAATCTGTCAAGGGAAGAATATTATTCATGTTGACTCTGGATATTGGAGAAAATCTCTAAATTCTTCAAAAGTTATGAAATGTATCAATGCTGATGCCTGTGATGGCGGATTTGAAGCCCAAGAAGAATTTCCTGTAAAATGTTCTACAGGTTACAAAGGATATCTTTGAGCTAGTTGAGACATTTTATCCGATACAAAGTATGAGCCAGTAGCAAATTTCCAGTGTGCGAAATGCCCAGACAAAATAGTAAATACAATAAGGATTATCCTTTTCTTTTTTTTAACGATGATATTCCTAGGTGTGATTATTCTATTAAACTTGAATAAGAAGAAAGATAACCAGATGTCAATTTTGTGAAGAATATTCACAAATTATCTACAACTGATGTCTGCTGCATTATCTTACAATGTAAATGTTCCAGGCAATTTCAGAGGGATATTTGCTCAGCTTGATAAGATATCTTTCCAGACTTTAAATTTCTCGTATGATTGATTTATTGATGATCATGAAGTGAGGGTCTTTGCACCATCTATATCCCTATTCAAACAGTTTCTCTACTTGTGTCTTCCTGTAATAATAGTCCTGGTTATGTCTGCATGAATTGTAATTATTAAAGTTATTTTCATGAAGGTACGGCCAAATAAAAACTTTGAGTTGAGGAGGGCTATTGTAGTTTCACTAATATGCATTATTTTCTTGTTACATCCTAAGCTTACCTTTGAAGCATTATCTGCTTTCAGGTGAACTCAGGTCGATAGCAATGATTACAGAATGACCCTGCATATGGACTTTAAGTGATTCTCGATTGATCACATTATGTGGTGCTTCTTGGTTGGGGTTCCAATACTTATTATCTACGTAATTGGTTGCCCTCTTATTGCTTTTGTACTCCTAACTAGGAACAAGAGTGACCTTCAGAAATGGAATTTCAGGAAGTACTTCTTCATACTCTATCAAGGACTCAAGCCAGAAAGATATTACTGGGAATTTGTAAACACCTTGAGGAAATTTACCATACTCGCAATCAGCTTAACACTAGTGTCTATTTCAGTCAATGCAAAGCTTCTACTTTCAGTCGGTAAGTGCTTACAATAACCATTAGTGTGCATGATTGCCTTAGTAAGATTACAGAACTCTTTAAAACCATACAAAAGAGCAGAAAATAATAAAATTGAGCTACTCGGAATTCTTGCTGGCACAGTGACTATCTTCTGTGGTATTATATTCCAGCGGCATAAAGAGGGATATTCTGGCTTTTACACCCTTGCAACAGTTGTAGTATTCCTTCTAAATTTTAATTTTATAATCCAATTTTGATATTTGCTACTGCTATCACTTGAGTGCAAAAATGAGTATTATAAATGAGTTCTCAAAGTGTTTACAAAGATATTGTGCAAAAAGTATACTGACCCTGAGAAGAGTGATAACATACAATTTTCTACTGATAAAACTCCAATTGATGGTTCATTACTTAAGGATGATAACTCAAAGCCTCAGAAAATCCTTAGGGTAATATTTTATACCTTGTGCCACAAAATAGAGTACAATTTTTATATAGAAAAATCACAAACGGAGAATGTTCAAATTGAAGAAATCGAAAAAGTTTCCTAGAAATCGACGTACAAAAAGAGCTCCGAAATCAAAGAATAAAAGCCCGAAAAAGGAACTGAAAAGTACAAAATGGATGGAAGAAGAGCGCAGTATGACCTAGTCTTTGTAAATCTTATTTAGAAGAAAGCACATTAAATATAAACCCAACTTCTATTTATCCAACTACAAATCGTCTTCGCCCAACTACTAAGTAACAATGGCTTGTTTAACCTTTAGTGAGAATGGTAACTTTTCATAATGATGCCCAGTTTTGACTTACCCGTATTATAGATCATATTAGCTCAATGTCCAGGATGTCTTCAATTTCGCGTTCGCCACTATACCCTGTTTCAAAGGCGACAGTAGTTCATTATGGTAAGAATAAGAAGCAGAATAGATATGATCAAGAATATTCTCTTGAATAAATAGCACATAAAGTTTGCTGCTAGTCGGAATGAAAAGTAAATACTATGGCTCAAGCAGCAAAAGACAGTACTGGTGAGTAATAGTTCTACGATTTTGAACACCTCGGCTCATAAAAGTCGATAGAATCATATTTATGGAGCTTCATCTTCAATGCTAATCATTCAAGGCGTGATTTGTCTATTTATAAATTATTAATGTTTTTGTGAAAGAAAATCGGTAAAATTGTATAGCTCTGTAACTATAATTCTGAATCTCAAATTTTAACTTGCCAAAAGAGGCTCATATTCCCTAAATTACTAAAAACACAATTTTTCACACCCAAATCTCTTTTACATAAATTATCTACTGTACTGAGCACAAAGGTCATGTTGAGAGTCCAAATCTCTTAGCTTAAATTGAGAATTCCCTCTGCTGAAGCACAATTTTGCACTAAATTTAAAGACTAAATACTCTATTTTCTTGATAATTTAAGCTCTAAATTGCCACTACTCTAGATTTCAGCTTCTAATCTTGATATCAGCGGTTTTAATCTGAATTCTGAATATAGATGTGACTAGATTTCTCATTCAGGAGTGACTCAGAGAAAGTTTGTCCATCATTATTAAGAATTTTAATAAGCTATATAATTCTTGATTTCAATCTGGGAATCTACCTTGGGGTTTTGGGGTTTTGGGGTTTTGGGG